GACGTCCTGATTCCAGTGAGCTGATTGGCTGATGGCTAGAGCCTGACTGGCTTATTGAGCTCTCGGCCGGCAAGAGGCTAACGTCGCCAACAACGTGCACAAAATCACCGGGAACGCAACTGCTGACGAGGTCGCGATCCAGAGAGCAGGGGATCGAGCGGGGCACTCGACCACTTGATGACGAAGAAGTGGGAAAGGATGCGGTGGAATCTAGTTGTAAGTTGGACCGGTTGTCCCTCTCATCGGCGAAACCCTCTTCGGACTCTTGAAGGATCATCGACTTAAAAACCGTAACCAAAACAAAATGTCAGTAAGTAGAAGTCTGGAGCCGGGTGGACTTGATCTCGTTTGGAAGAAATAGCCGAAGTAAACCATGTGTTTTCCTTAGGCAACAAACAGTACCATGGAAAGCATAGATAGTTTGTTTTCGTAAAGGACTACAGTTTACGCCGAATTGTCGATATAGGTTTGAGGTGTCAACCTCAAACTTGCGAAAGTAGGAGATTCTGGCATGTCTGCAGACTTAGTCCCAAATTTCAGAGTGCGTTTAAACGACAACTCGATCGTCGATTTCGGTTATCGTGTGCTCCACAGCAGGGTGAGATCAGGGATGGTTGTTTGCGCGTGAACTAGTTTACAGTGGTGGTAGACTTGCGCAGCATCTACCGCGCCCTCTCCTCCTCTCCCACCTGGGTCCGGTGTCATGACCAAGTCAAGAAGACCGGCGATGGGAGAGCCCGCAGGTGGCTTGCACGGCGTAAATCCGCACCTACGCGTACCATTATACCCCCTAGTCCACATCCAACACTTAAGCGGAGTTTTAAACAACAGCAAATATTGGGAGACGGCCCAAATCCCAACTGGGGCGGCGTAGGCCTGTAAATGTGTCTGCCACCATACCCCGAATGTTGGTGCGTATTGCCGATAACGCCTGCCGAACTTTAAACTAGTCCCCTTGCTGGTCCAGAGTATCTACCGCGTGTCCGTCTGACGGATACGCGTTTAATCAAGGGCTACAACAGAGTCACAGTAGTATTCTAGGGTCACTGGACGGATTTATAAGAGGAGAATAATAAGAAGATAGAAAGTCATCAGTATACCATGAGGACTGTAACACTGTCTTGTTAGTAAAGAGGTAAATACAAATGTCATTAAGAGTGAGAAAGGAATTTCCATTTGACCTACTCTGGTGTCCACGACTTGCGTGGAGGCCGATTCGAACAGCGGAACAAACGACTTCGATCGACAGCCCTTTTCAGGGCACTTCGTGGGCTGAATAAAGCAGCCGTCTTCCCCGAGGACAAGGACCTGCTCATTCTCACAAACCGAACACCGAAAAGCCAGACGAATACACAGGGGTTTTATCTGCGAAATGAAAGAAAATCCCCAATAAAAAGTTTCACAAACCACAAATTGGGGAAACAGTGGGCGAACGGTCAACTGTGCAAAAGGTGAAGATCGCTCGTTTGCATTGGGAGTGTGTGTTTGTTGTAAAATGTTCGATATTATTGATCGTTAGAAATCAAAGATGGATGACATGGGTTTGGAGCCAAAAAGGGGGGGGGGGGAGAATGGGAGTTGCTCACCGGACCCAAGCGTGCAACAGTCCCACGAATGGAAACCAAGCGTCCAAGGTGATTGGCTCGAAGGCTTCGCATTGGCAGAGTTGGGTAATGCCCCACCAAACGAACAGCGACAAAACCCAGTTGAGAGTGGTGGACTCTTAGCCCTTTGCAGGAGGAAACGAAAACCGTATGGCAGTAAGTGAGATGCATCGGACAAAAACACGAACACTTAAAATACTGAACTCTTTTTGGAGAAAAAATTTGCAATTAATTAAAACACTCAAGTCAAAGATAGTCAAATTCCATAGTTCGGCATACAGTCACTTGACAAATGCCAAACTCACACGGGTGCAGAAACTCCTTCCCAGGCGCAGAATCCATATCTATTTGCCGAGAGGCTACAGTGTGAACGGCCAGTCCCAGCGATTGCAGAATAACCCTCGCATTTGGAGGGGACTCCCCATTAGCATCCGTAGGCCAGTCAGCGATGCGTTTTTTGAGGCTTTCTGAAGTCAGCAAAGAGGGATAGTCGACGTGAATTGTTTGCGTTTCCTCTACAGCGGACCAGTCAATTGACTCGGGACCTGATGAAGACAGGCAGGACTGTTTTATGTAGCTCATGAAGGCCTGTAAAAAAAATAGAAAAAAGGTTAGCAAACGTAGGAGATCCGGGGCGATAATCTGAGAAAAATGAAGTGCTCACCGGATCAAGGGCATTGTACTGCTGACGTTTCGGACAGGTTGGGCGGCTCTCCACTATCAAAGCATTTAGACTCACTGTCCCCCTACGTGGCACTCCTACATACGGTTTAGCAAAATGGATGTTTGCTCCTCTTAAGTTCCTGGCCGAAAGTTCCCCAACAAAAGTGGCTTCCGCTAATCAGTTTCTTGAACATTTAAAACATCTTAAACTTGTGCCACATGAATCCTTGGTACCTTTTGATATCGCCCCACTCTTCACCTCCATTCCATAACAACTATCGATTGACGTTGTGAGACAACTGCTGGGTGACCGTTACGACGAGAGAGACAACCACCTGAAGACCGAACATCTAATGGAGCTCTTATGGTATTGTTTGAAAACATATTTCACCTTTCGTGGACAGATGTATGAACAAATCAAAGGCATCCCCATGGCCTCCTCCATACCAGAGCCGATTGCTGAAGTAGTCTTTCAACGGATAAAACACTTGGTGTTCACCAAGTATCAACTAAAGTTCTGGACTCGTTACGTCAATGACGCTCTGGCCATTGTCAAATCATCTGACATGGAGCACCTTAATGAATTACTGAACTTGGTTGACCCCGATATCTACTTAACGATGGACGCTGAAACAAAAAGCCAACTTCCCTTCCTCGATGTCCTTGTGTGTCGGCGTGCAAATGGACAATTACAAACTACCGTTTTCAGAAAAGCCATCAACACAAGACAATTACTACACTTCAACAGCAATCATCCCCTCTCTTACAAACGCAGCTGTGTCCGTACTCTACTCCGAAGATTTGAAACATAATGCAGCATAGCAGCCGACAAAAGAGTTGAACGACAATACCTTCATGACCTCTTTCGGGCTTATGTATACCCAAGCTACTTTATCGAGCGAAACAAGCGCCGAGTGAACAGACGATGGCCACAAGAACAATCCGAGGTCTGGAAGGCTATTCCTTACATTGAAGGGGTCTCTGAGATGGTTTCAAACTCTGTTACAGCCCGCCAGGGTAGGCATCACCCATCGACCACAGTCAATAGTTCGTCGCTGTCTTATGCAACTCAAAGACATACTGCCACCCACTGAGACCTCAACAGTTGCCTATTAAATACGTTGTAACGATGGAGACTACAACTACGTTGGGGAAGCCGGTGAGAAATTGCTGACCCGCCTGCATGATCACAAACTAGCAAAGCGGAGACTAGGCTCAAACTCACGGCTCGCGTCGGAGAAACTGGCCACAGTTTTGACTTTCAAGGAGCAGCCGTCTTAGGCCGGGCGTCTCAAGTACGGAACGTTTCATACTTGAGGCTTGGTAGTCGGGTGCCAACTCTATCAAAGGGCAGTTAGACCTTCCTGCGGCACATAAAGGCCTACGTCACTACATACACCATGGCCAGGACAAGACGGTCATACGGAGCTTAAGAACACCGAACATACCGTCGACTAATTCACCCAAAAGGGATGCACAAACACAGCCGGCACCAATTAAGGCGACGATACGCAACACAGGGGGTCACCAACATGCACGAACGACGGTCAGAGAGCCAAAGCAGCGAAGGAAGAAAAAATCGACCAGCCCAAGGCCAAATAATTCGACCGTCTATTCAAAGTTCTGGTCGACTCTTGCACTAAACGCCTTGATAATGGAGAGATGGTCAAGCTCTCCGAAACGTCAGCATTACAATGCCCTTGATCCAGTGAGCGATTCATTTTTCTCAAGGAGACAAAAGCTTGAGTGGGACAGAGGCAGTGCTGCAGACAGGGAATTGGAGGCTTAAATAGGTAGAGTATGCAAATAGATAACCTGAAAGGACCATGCGACAAGATGTTATGAAGTTGGAGCCATGACTGGCCCTTGGGCATTACAGAGTAATTACTGCATGACTGAGTGAAAAGTAATATGCTTAACGAAGATAGGAAAGAGCTCTTAACTAACCTAATCAGTATATGGGCTTGGCAATTAAGTTCCGTTTTAAACAAGGGGACAATGAAGACGAATGCTCAAAAACTAACTCCTAATGCATCGAGTAAGCTATTATCAAAAACGATTTCAGGCTAAATTATGCTAGAATACCTTAAAAGGATAGAAAGCTCGAAAAGGCGTCTTAGCTGAGGGACGAAAAGGCCTGATAAAACTGGATTAGACACAAGCTGCTAAACTGTAGATTAAGGGTTCAGTAGACTGAGCAACAAGACCCTTTGCGTGGATGAACGACAGTAGACACGAGTAATGCACCGTTCGGGAATCTTTTGTTGTAGAATTCTCGTGGTTCCAAGGTGCATGGCAGGTAAAGTAACAGCTATATCTCCTTGCTACTGAGCACACCACGGGCGTCTACTACTTGGTCGTGCAAAAGTGCAGGTGTTCGGGAGGTCCGTATGAAAAAGGTCTCGTTTCAGTCGGCTTAAATGGGGTGCCAAAGCAAACCGTAGCTGGAAACC